CATTTGTTCATTAAAATTTGTCTATATTATGCAACAAATGACTGAAAAAATTTCACCATGAAGCTTTTCAAAACTTGTGCTTTTTTTATCAAGTTTGTCAGTGATTTCATGAAGCAGACCATGTGACATGATTCGGACACGTAATAAGCATGAAAGCAGTACCAAATAGGTCCAATAGTTTGGTCGAAAAACCCGAAAGAGAGAGACCACGTGGGAGACCTAGACGAAGTGTATAGGATATTAAAGAGGATGTGGATTGGTTTTTACCTTCCTCAGGATAAAGTCCAGTGACGGGTTCTTCTAAACACGGTAATGTCTTGGCTAGATGAGCGAATATCATCTCAAGACGAACTCTGCTCGCTGGGTTACAAAGAAATTATTTTCATTATACAACTTCTGATCGTTTGGAACTCTAAAATGAATAATGTAAAGGACTAATGTTCGGCCTATGAATACTTGTAATATATAAAATTGTTGTTTTACACATTTCCACCACCTAAATTATATAATTATAAAAATACAACTCTTCCAAAACGTTGTAAATTTATAATTTTACAATTCAGATGTTAAACAAAGTGAATTTTTTTAAATTATTTGCTATTTGCACTTTTCCATCTTCATGGAAGAAGGAAGGTACCTATGCACCTGCGTTCGTCAATAAGACCTAATATCTATCACTGGAAACCATACGCCATCCAACTCTCTCAACATATCCACCTGGGAACAGATCTTATCAGCAGGAGATTGTAAGAATATAATAAAATAAAATTATAGGACTACTCATAAAACACTAAAAACGACCAACAGCGAAAACTCAATAATTTGCATCTCCACATATTCTTATACTTACCATAATGTGATAACATAACCACTCTGGTTGTGCTTGCGACAGCTCTGAACAGAGTGCAACATGAAACAGTATTTGATACATGTGTGGTAAATGTTACGAATGCAGCAACAGTGCAAACCTGATCGCAAAGAAGAAAAAACAGAAGGTTGAAGCACTACTTCAATTTTTGTTATCCTGAGGTATTTTAACCAAATTCCACTATTCCATCAAATATGGTTTTGACCACAGGAAATCATGTAATGATATTAGGTATGTCCTGTGACCAGCCTGAAACACAATACAGGTTTAGTGGTTAGTCAAAATCAGAAAATTAAACAGACAGAAAAAAGAGTATAACATGAACTACATGTTTACATTTATGCGAGACAAGATGTAGGAATCCACAGTTCTTCTCTGTGTCAGAAGAAAACTAGTTCTCCTGTGTCATTTGCTAAGATTTTGATGTGGTCGTGACTGTAAAGATGAAAACCTAGTAAAGCTCTTTATTCAAGTGCCTCTTGCACCAATAACATTAAACGAACATGTTACAGTAAGAGTCATCCCCATCTACTCCCCAAGACACTTCGTTTAAGACATATTAAACAATTTTATTAGTTATGCTTTGCATGCTTCTGAATCATGATCACTTACTCTGAAAACAAAGCATAAATTACATGACTATGAAAGTGAGGCATTCTCACACGTGGCCACTTGCAACACCAAGAAGATGAGAGGAAAAAACTGGCTCAGGAGAATTATGTATGGTGGAAATGGTCATGGCATGTTTTAAACTGCCAGTACTATCCTGGAACAGGCATGGAGATAAAGAATATCATGAAATGGGGCTTTAAAGTGGTGCAAAACCTGGTGCATAATATAAGAAGTTATGAAACCATTTGAAACTGAAATCATGCATAAGGACGTGTTCTCATAAATGCTGAGAAACTAACTCCATGTCACACAGCCTCTCTTGAGTGGCTCAGAGTTATTCATTTGACCTCACCATTATAGGATCCTAAGATGGGCCAGTTCAATTCAGCATGTTTCTTGAAACCCTGTCAAAATACGACTTTGGTTCTAAAGGTGCGAGCTGTGTCAAAGTATTAACCAGTGTTTCGGCAAACACTGCTCTGGGTCGCCTGTCCGACGGCTCGGCTGTCAGACCGTAGGCTGGTGTTTCGAAGAAGTTACAATGTTCTGCAAATGGAAACGAAGTCAATATGTTGCTTTACAGTGTAGCTTCCATTGTTCTTTATTTGTCACATCCGGCTTTGTTTAAACTGAACGTGACTACATAATGAAAAGTGAGTGTAGTGCAGCTCTGAATGCATTTGCTTCTCTGGGGCGACTGGAGAGTAGCATGGAAATCAGCTACATGAAATGTAGGCCTGTTACAATTAAGACTGACATTCATTCTGCTCACCAAAGTGGAACTCACGATGAAGCCACCGCGAGCTTAACCTTTCTTGCCTCCCAACCCTCATCCTCACCTTATAACAACTTCAAGCCCCCATCCTTCTCCAGCAAATTTTGTTTCACATTCTGAATAATTTTCTCACATACTTATTAGTAATGTTTTTCACTAACTTATTTAAACAAGATTATAGGACTTGAATACATTACATCTGAGTTTCAAAACGAATTGAATTACACAAACTATTTAGTATCGGAAAGAGTCGGGAATGGAAAACAATTATTTTCATTCAGCTGTGGATTAGCAGCACTATGGTACGTGCCAAATTCGACTGTTTGAATCATATTCCCGCTCACCTAAAAACGACACATGATTTTAAATCCTTACTCTGTCCACCACGGTTACAGCGTTTGTGAAATATTGTACAAATGAAATCCAATGTGCAAGTCTCTCAGGAACTGTTGATAATTACACAGCTGGTGAAGGAACTTCCGGATTTTATAGGACTCGAAGGTTCGTCGCCGTGTTCATAAAGAACGTCATTGGTCTTTATTCTAAGGCAGATCTGGGAGCGAGGGAAGGACTACACTCGGGAAAAAGACCATGCTAGCGATTTGAAACATCCCGATACATTCATCGGAAATAAGAATTGGTAATCTTACTCTAAGCCTTTGAATATATATTTATTGATTGACACATCAGCCCCTTAATTTAACTCAGCACAAAAGTTGGTATCAGAATCTCTAGCAACTTTGTCCGTTGTTTGCTCTGAGTATGAAATGAAATTTGGCCTCTTACTTTGCGAGAAGAACATAATTTATAAACATTTCAAATGAAAGTCATAGCAGAAATATTTGTATCTAAGGATAAATAACTGTTACATCATTATTTATACAGGTCACCTGGTAATAGCAGAATATTGAAATGTAGTAAGTTTTGATATGAGTGCGTGGGTAGGATAGAATTTTGGTGGGAGAGCTCGCTCGAAGATCGAAAGATAACTTCAAAAAGGAAGTTAAGAGCATGGTTTATGAGGATGGGAGCCGAGTTTAACTGACTGATGGGCTTTGGTAATAGAAGCGTTGATATTCGGGCTCAGCTGACAGACCGTTAATATAATCAGTAGAGCTGTCACGTCTAGTTCCCTGTTTCTGCTAGTGGGCGTCTCCTTTTGAACGAGGTTCCGTCATGTGTTGTAGAAACTGAATGGCTTGAAAACCCCTGCTCTTTCTGCGTCTCTCAGATGTGTGCAAGACTTGATTCACTTCTGCAGTTTGCAGCCTCTCAGAATTTCAAGTACTGTGCGGACCATGAAAATGAAGGAACTTGATCGAGTAGTGGAGGTACGCACGTGTGTCCGATGATTCACTTCAATAACCAGCATGTACGGTATATTGCAGTTGGCCTTGATCAGTGATTCTCTGAGCCTTCTCCACGCACAAGGTCGCTAGAATACAGTTCATGTTCTCACTGCACGTCAAGTTGTGTGTTTTTGTTAAGTTGTAAGCCTGTATGAGTTTTATAAACTATGTTCATATTGAAGATTTCTGTCTTCTGGGTCGTTGCGCCGTGTAGTCTGGTCGATGTTTACCAACGTTTCAGAGGTCATCGATGAATCGCCCTGATGACGGAGGCAGTAAGACCTCTGAAACGTTGGTTAACATCTACCAGACTACACAGCGCAAGAACCCAGAAGACAGAAATGTTCATACTCACCGCTGTGAAAACCTCAAATCTTACATATGTCCATGTTATTCTTTATTTACACCAAAAATGCTATTTTGAAAACGCGCAGTGACTAAGAAATGTAAAGCAATATAAATACTATCAAGACACCGACAATTTAACGCTACGCAGGAATGTAAAGACTAGATATTAACGCTCTTTGCACACTTTGTGAAATATAGTAATGTCCACAAACGCATTGCACTCAGAGTGCTGGCTGCACATAGGTTTGAGAAATACAGGTCTTGAAATTAGTTTATGCCTTATTAAGAAGCTTGAACATGAGCGAATCACCGAAACGGTAAGCCTACTTTACATTCTGTGAGGGAAGTATGGAGGCCTATTTTAAGATAATATTCCAGCATTTTCCTATAGAGTTTGAAGAAAACAACAACAATCCGCAATTAAGGTATCAGATACCGACGTGCTATCCTGCCAAGTAAGATAATACAAAGAAGATTGTTATCTCTGGAAAATCGTAAAATACCGCTGTGAAGCTATTTTCGACAAGGACTGGAACTGGGTTCTTCCAGACAAGAAGCAGTATTGATGCCCGACGCGGTTTTCAACAAACAAGTGATATTATACAGTAAATCTTATTCTCTAGGCAAGAACGAACAAACAAACAAACAAAAGTCGCGACAATTGGGACTTTGAACAGAAAAATGTTTCATACAAAATTCCCCCTTTTGAACATAAGGTGTCGTTAAGTTGCTATTTCATGATGTGCGAGAAGTGATGTTAACATTCAAATGCCGAAAATTATATATCTCGTACCTTTCCTGCATTTAAAATTGCCTGTTGCTTGAAACATCTGCTGTCATTTTTAGAATCTTAAACCACTGAAAATCGTTAGTTACCGGCGTCATAAACAAAGATAAAAGCCATTTTGATTCTTTTAGCGTGCACTATTGCGTCTTCACTTCTGAATTAAGACATGACGCCTTTTGACGCATGAGTACAACTTATATTCATCATTACATAAGTTTGAATTAAACAGATTCTAATTTTGGATGTCCTTCCGGTGATTGCGAAACTGAGCGGAATGGAAATTACCTGCCGAGTGAACAAGACGGCAATTGTGTAAAACGGTCGGCTTGCGAAGTGTAAACAGATACATAATAGCAGTACAGGAGCAAAAGGATCCCAGATATAGATAGCCCTTCAATCGGCCTTGTGGCCAACGTAACTGAAGTACATTGGTTCCCCATAACCGTATAGTATTGTGCACGTGAGGCAAAGCAGCAGAAGCATGGAGCTCGTATTTGTATCACACAAGTGTCCACTTTCCTTGTTCTCCATCATGGCGTGTTGCTTGGACACTGACAGAACTGTACGCTCATCGCACGTATTCACAGCATCTTCTCTAATTCTCAAAGACGAACCAAGAGCCGTGTAATTTGTCTTATGATGACATAACAATTACCTCAATTATGCCTCTTCCAATCTCATTTGTTTTTATTTTGTGACAAACTGGCCGAATATAGTTCTTCCAAGAAGATAATAGCCACCCAGCTAGCCAAAAAATACCCTGACATTTCCGATATCTCACGCTCATTATCCTGTTAAACAGCCAAAGTCCTTCTATTGATCCAGAGATCCAATCCACACTCTCCCACCACATGTCCCGAAAATTTATTTTCATATTATCCAAAGGTCTAGGGCTAAGTTCTTTTTCCCAGTGGTCTCTTCCCTCCAGGCTTCGTAATCACGTCTGAAGCCAAAGTAACATAGCAAATTCAACAACTGTTAATTCTATTCGCTTATGTTTGAACATTGCTGCTTACTAGGATTTGTACATCAGATATACAGTATTATTATCACAACCGTCATACTTTTCTTTTGTACCGGTGGGTCATCAAGTACCTAGTCAAAATTCCGAATAGAACATTGTATTACAAGTATATGCCAAGTACGCCTATGTGAATAGCCGATCCGATATTAGGGACGTTCTATCAACTGCACGCATTATTTGACGTCTGATAACATGAAAGGACAATTCTCTTTCAGACGTACAGGTCGATTCAAGGACGCCATTTAAACCACCTTAGTTTTACGAAGTCAAACGACTGTATGATTACGAAATACTCATATAAGACTTTGAAAACCTGTGTAAGAAATCCATCGTGGAGTATTTTAACGCATTTCCCAATATTTACTTACAGGAACTGAGGAAACTCGATGAGATTCTAAGTCTGTCTATTTCGTCAATCATTTAAACCACAAAACCCTCAGGATGACAATTACCTGGATCGACGTCAGAGTCGATCCATTCTCGAATACGAGTCTGCCTAGTTACCGATGAGCTAACTTGTCCTGTGGAAAAAAAAAGTGTGGAATATTTTATTGATACTAGTCGCATCGTCTGATGTTCTAATCTGGACACATTAACACTTAACCACTAATGCATGACCCCTGTAACACTATAAACCTAACAGCATATTAATTCGGCGTTAAATAAAGAACAAACACCGTGTGTACCGTGAAGGAAATGTATGACGGGTGACCTTTTCGCCTGCTTAATTGATATGTTTGTAGTAGTATTCCGCGCGTTTGAAACGCGGTCAACCGTTCTGAAAAAGAGCACAGATAATTAATATGTTTAAAAATAAAATGGCGAAGAAAATTCTTAGGTATAATAGGCATAAGTGAATGAAGAATGTTCATCAACTTCCTGCTTTATACAGGAGTGTGCCCAATGGCGCTACGATTCCATTTTAGCGGGAAAGCTGAATGACACGACACTGCCGAAGTAAATCCTGTATTGTAAGACGCAAACCATTTGTTTCTTTTCTTCTTAAGTGCTTAATTTTCCACAATTATGGGCAGTCAAGCTCTTTGAACCTTGTTGCCTTAACTTCCGTGCCAATCGCATTAACATCGTTAGAGCGCTCACAGGTGACTTCCACGCACCGGTCCTTCCGTGGAGGTGTCCAGTGTGACTACATCGTTCATTGGCACAGGATGTCCGCAACAGAACTAAGAGAGTTGCTGAAGGTAAATACTTTTCAACACCTACTACATTCTCATCCACAAACCAGACTTCTGAGTAGTCCGTTCGAACTGCAGTCGCTTGTTTAATGTCATTCTCTGGTTCGAAAATGCCACGCCATTTAACTCTCTGCTCAAGCAGTAAATACAAACTCAACCCTGCAGTGCTTCATTTGAAAACTTTCTTAACCGATATTAAAAATGTTCTTCTCACTTAATGACCGACTTGATTCACTGTCACTACACGCGCAGAATTTCCTACGTAAGAGAAAATGTATCGAAATACGAGTCAAGTTTACGGTCCCTCACGCCCAAGTAATTAGTTCCTTCCTGATGGATATTTATATGTTATAACCCATACAGGCCCTATTCATTAAAACCGTGGGCTAATGGACCGTTCTCAGGATGTCCCATCAACTACAAAATAGAAACGGTCGGGTTTTAAGAACATATTTTGGCAGAGTCGCACAAATGTTTGCGTTTTAATTACAGTCTCTCATGATTGACAACAACTGTAGGACCGCGGAAAATGTTGCAGGGACGGACAGCGTCCCGTGATGTCCAGAGTAGCCGAAGCACACTGGAGGACCCAGACCGTGGGAAATGGGGCAGCAAAACGGAGTTCATCCTGTCCTGCCTGGGGTACGCCATTGGCATTGGCAATGTGTGGCGATTTCCCTATCTCTGCTACAGGAACGGTGGAGGTGAGCAGTACACAGATAAAAACATAAAGCAAATTTATTCCTGTGCTTAAGCACCGTGTCATGAACAAGTACAGATACACCCGTTATTAATTTTCGAACTAGGTGAGAGTAGCCAGCCTCACGTTTCGGCCGGTTTTACATCACAGAAACATCTTGTCCGTACCCACTGGAAAGAACGAGTGAACCGTACAGACGTTTATGACATAGAGGCGAAAACAAAAATTCACGGATCTACCAAGAATCAAAACTCTCACGTTTATTTATTAATTATTATTTATTTTAGTGTTCTGTCTGACGACAGGTCCATATGAACAGGATCCTTCCATCCTTTTCTCGGACTGGGACCTGTTCATATACGTTCTTGGCAGATGATCCAGAAGTGGTTTGCCATTGCCTTCTTCTGTGTGTGAATGGAGTAATTGTCGGGATGCCACGGAGAAACCGGGGAAGCCCCCGGAGGAAACCTCCGTGTTACCTAGACTACGGCCTTGCCCAACACAGGTTATCAATTCGGGCACCGCCGGGAATCGAACCCGAGCCCCCAGGATTACAAGGCCAGCGTTCTAACCGCTAGACAACCGTGGCATCTTCACGTTTATTTTGGAAGTAAAATATTTATGAAACTCCAGATCGCTTTCAACATTGTAAGAGTGTGTGCATTCCTCAGACATTACACCTTTAAGCATCAACTTCCTCCGCAAACACCCAGCCTGATCAAGGAATGTTTAAGTTATCGTTATCCAAACCAACAGGGCGAGAGAAAAGTATGTCGGTTACATACTAGATGCAACAGAACTTTTAGCCCAAGGGCATTGCAAAAGGGGACGATTTCACCCAATGGCCAGAAGAAATCTATTTTGCAAGGAGACCCCTTAACGATTTCTCCATGCACGTAAAAATCAATACATAACGTACTTATAACCGCAGGTACGAAAACTGTAGTCTCAGAGTGTACCTGAAATTATTTTGCTCTGATTGAATGCAACCTTCTTTTTTGCTAGAATATTCGTGTAAAATTAGTTTCAAAAATATTTTCACCGTTTAAACAACGATGGCACAATCGCATTCCATAACAAACATCCAAACAAGAGATTTAATTCGAGATGTAGTCACTGTATTTGATTTATGGTCACAGTTAACTGCAGTTTCCGTCTCGTTAAGTAGTATAATTATTTCATGCCATTTGTTGGGTCTATTTCTCAGTCGTCCACTCACTAAAACTTACTACAACGATGAAAATAACGTGACTAGTTGATGCACCAAAATCAATTTATTCCATTCAGGGTCTGAAGACCACGGAATGCTTTTCTTATAGCCTCGTTTCAAACGATTCAGTCTTTAGATGACAAAATTGCAGAGCAAATAAACTACATCCTATTTATCAAACCTAGACCCACGTCATTATTACTATCCCTCTGTTTAGACTAAAAATCACTTACTGTTTCTTCGTACAGTAGACTACCAATAGTTTCCGATGATAAAACCTTCAAATTTTCGAACTTAGTACATCGTTTCTCGCGTTCGGTTTGATCTAAACCACTCAAGTCCAAATTATTAAATATTTTACATGACAGTACATGGATTATTTCAGTCATAGGAAAACATATCGACACAATTATTTTAAATTGTGGACATAATTTCTCCCTGTAAAGTTGAAATGGTTGAGCACAGGGACAACTTTATCTAAGTTCTGACGCGGTAGTTTCCCCGATTCTAAGCAGAACACACATTTCACTCCTGTCACTAGGAGCGTTTCTGGTACCCTACCTGCTGATGCTGGTTCTATGTGGCATACCCCTGTTCTTCATGGAGACGACACTGGGCCAATTTGCCAGCACCGGCTGCATCACCCTCTTCAGGATTTGCCCCCTTCTCAAAGGTAACATCATCACTTGTTTGTTAAAAAGTAACTCTGAATGTGAAATACAGCATCCGCCAAGAATCTTCAACTCCTCGTATAAGACGTGTATAAAAGTAAAATCCGAAAGCATTCTTTGCACACGTCGTTGATATTGATACGTGAGCCAATTTATTGCAGATATAATAATCTGTTGCTGAAGAACCAAATACGTTTAACTACAAATCATTTCTGCTCGTATTTCGATACGTATTCACTGCATTACTTTAAAATGAAATCCATACATCGCAATCAGATCTATCTTTTATATCCTGCACAAATTTTTACACGATAAACCGCTTTTGATAAAACTGGTGACGATACGAGCTTCGTAATATAGTAGGAGTTAGGCCTATATCGGGCCGACAAGAACCAAAATTTATCTTGTCCGGCAAAATTTAGAACAGACCGCGATTATAAAGCTTCAATGAAATGTATTCAGTAGTTCCGCAATCTCCCTACAATGCATTCATTTCACTGTAAATTAGGTCTTTGTCGTTATTAACAGAGAGCGTCACGTCCTGTCCACGACAACGGCGGGCAATATAGTTATAAATCACTGATGGCGAAATCTATTTACTACAGATACAAAACTACTGTCCACAGTAACACTGACTAACAACTTCGTGAAATATACACTATACATGAAACAAAAAAAAGTCGATTTTAATGAGAATGAAGTGAGAGGATGCCAGATAAAATTGCACGATGATGATGATAATCCAAAATTCGAACTCTTCAAATAAATTATAGATATCATAAAATCATAGAAGGTGCGGTGGATGGATTATGTAGCTTGACGAAAATGGGAGGCTGATATTAAAATGGATCTCAAAGAAGGAACTCTATTAGAGAAAACATGGCAGAACTACGAAAATTAAAAACGTCCCGAACTTCCAGAATGCTGCCAAATGCTGTGTAAACAGATAAATTCTTACGTTCGAGTGTTTTGGTATTTATTTTTTGAGGATTTAAAGGTAGATTTATTCCCACGTAAAAGATCGGGGCAACTGAAGTGAATAATTAGCGGGGAGGTAACGCTCCACATATTCGTCACGACATCGGCCTATAGTTGTGCGATGTTTTGCCAGGTACTGGATTCGCCATCGTGATCGTGAACATCATCTGCACCATGTACTACAACGTCATCATCTCCTACCCGATCTACTTCCTGGTCATGTCTCTGAGGTCGAAACTTCCCTGGGAAGACTGCAACCATGAATGGAACACAGACAAATGCTTGAAGGTAATCGAAATTCTCCCATGATTATTCGCTTGATACAAGAGGTTACATAGCGGAGACATTCGGACCCTACCTCCAGGAACTATCCAGGCGTTATCTTGAAAGGCCCAAGAAAGCTATGAAAGACATCAGTGCATTCGAAGTGGATGCACAAGGGATTCAACCGCAACACCAACTTCTTGCCAGCCTACTGCTTACAGAGGTCACTCGATCTAAATGTCAGTGAGTTAAATTGTTTGCTTTAAGGCGCTGTAAAAAGTAATTAAATTATGACAGTACCAGTGGCGATCAGAATTGTAATTTGGGAAAGACGCAGAAAGAAGTTGCCGTCACTTATTTTAAGGCGCTGTCCTGGTATTTGGTTCTCGGAGGGAATACATCCCTCACTCCACGTTTCATTCTTTCCATCCACCGCCCATTAACAAGTCTTCATTGTGTGCTGCCTTGTCTCCTCCCACTTGCACGTATTACTTAACATGTCTGTGTTGTTTCTTTGCAGCTTGGTACCAAAATGGATGAAACAGACAACAACACACAAACGTCCTCGGGAGACCTCACCAACTTTTCGACAGTATGGAAGACACCAGCTGACGAGTTCTTCCAGTAAGCTCATGGTTCTTGCTTAAACAGCGAATAAGCATTACTTACAAGCAACATGCATTGTTTTAGTACGTCGACCTCATCTTTTTATTCTCGTCGATTTGTTCCGGATACAATACGGAACGAACGCGCTTAGCACACACGGGGCCAAAGCTTTTCATATGTTATGTGTACACAGCAATCTTTATTCGGCAGGCTATGAGCACTGCGTGACGGACGGAAACTAATCCTCCATAGAGGAGTTGGAGTTGCTCTAATCACTCCCATGTTCATAATACGTTTAGCGCCCATGATAGGGTACAGACAGGCGCATGTGATTTACCGGTATCATTTTAAACAGTATGTTGTATTGATGTTGGCACAGGGTCGTAAAACATAGAAAACACGCGACTTATGTTGATATGCTTTTGCATAATGAAAAACGCGGTGGTCACGCGAAATGCAGTATATATATACACTTTTGGTTTCAAGGTAATAACTAATGAAATATTATTGACGACTATGGGAATTTCGTATCATAAACTAGCCCACAAATTTGGCATGTGACATGGAATATATAGAAAGAGGCACACACTAAAACTGCAAACATGGCGACACTGCGAAAATTTGAGACCATCTCTTATAAATGTATTTAAAGTTGTTGTAAAAATTAAGAATCATCTAATTAACGTCTTCCGTTGTAGCCACAAGATACTGCAGATTTCTGATGGGATCGACAGTCCAGGAACTGTAGTCTGGGAACTGCTTCTCTGCGACATGGTTTCATGGATAGTGATCTTCTTGTGCATCAAAAACGGAGTCAAGTCAGTGGGCAAGGTGGTGTATTTCACCGCCACTTTTCCTTTCGCGATCCTGTTCGTGCTGTTTGTGAGGGGCGTGACGCTGCCCGGTGCGTGGGAGGGCATCCGTTTCTACATATCCCCACAGTGGGACCAACTCCTCAATATCAAGGTACACTGGCTCTTGCTTCATCCAGACATATTTTAAGCAGCTTGTCAATGGGCCATGGTGAAGAGCGCAAATTATGAAGCTCCTTGTTATGCAATTTTCTCCAGTCCACGTTACTTCATCCCTCTTACATGCAAATATTCTTCTCAACACCCAGTTCTTAAACATTCTTAATCTGCGTTCTTTCCTTAGGCAAAATCCAAAGTTCATACCTTGGTATATAATGGTCTGTATCAAGGAAACTGCCTACCCAACAGTTCTGTTTGTTTGGTTTGTGCAAATACAAATCCACCTATTCCTCCAAACTGAAACAATAATGCTAAAAACAACACAAATGATACAAAGGTGTACTCCAATTCTGAGTACACATTTTCCAAATGCCTTCTTTCATTTTTTGCATCGATAATTAACTCTGACATTCATCTCCCGCAGATAAAAATTGCAAATAAAAATTATGATCCTTGTATTCTATTAAATATTATTCCCATTATATCGAAAATTCATGAATATAGAGTAAGTAAACCAACAACCATTAACACTATAAAAAGACACTATTGCCATACGCGTTTCGACCTCAAGAGGTCATCAACAATGGCATCAGTGCCTTTTTATAGTGTTAATAGTTGTTGGTTCTAATACACTACACGGTATGCAAAGTTTTAAGAAAATTCATGAGACATGTTTCAGTGTACAATCAAAGTATGCTATTAAACTTATTGAAAGTTTCTGTCGAGTAGCTACGAACACGAAACATGAAGACAGGCATGACCTCCAAATTAATTAATTTTGTTTGCACAAAGAAAGTACAGTAACGGGCATAACACTGTTTCAGGTGTGGGCAGATGCTGCAGTGCAGATATTCTATTCTCTTGGTCCAGGGTGGGGAGGCATTGTCAACATGGCAAGCTACAACAGGTTCCACAACAACAATAAGTGGTATAGTTACTGCGCTGCTCAAGAAATAACCTGCTCTAACGATTCCAGAAGGTTCATCGTGTTCCACACAGTCTGAGACTGAACCCTATTTTGAATCACTTCAACTCGTCCACATTCTCATGCCTTATTTTGCCATTACCCTATGCCTAGTCAATGCTGGTTTTCTGGGTTTTAACACTGTGTGAACTTGACTGCCTCCTTCTTCAGGACTGAAGATGGAAGCAGTATGTTCTTTTGGAGCAAAGGTTTCCACGTGGTGCTACAACCCAGAAGACTGGCGCTGACACCTTCACTGCAGTCAGCACCTCAAATCTCATATCCTACACCTAGATCTCCAAATTATTTATTCTCTTGCCTTCAGATATCAAGACCAAAATTTTGTATCGACTTGTCATTTCATTCATTTTTGGTGAAGAGTAGAAATTATGAAGCACCCCATTATGTAGTTGTCACCAACACTTTATTTTTAATTTATTATCTAGTTCTTCTATTGCTTTGGTCATGCTAAGGAATTAATTCAATTGCAAGGCTCTTTGTCACATTTGGTAAACATGCTACTTCGTTTTCAGTTATTTCTAAACCTGAACCTCGATCTGGAGGATCTACCCTTTTCGAATGTCTGTGACTACTATGATGCCCAGTCCCTCCATATCTAAAGACACGCCAAGCTAACAAGAAGCCCTCTTAGAATTACTGCAACACATAGAAAGTTGGTTTCAGTGACACATGAAAGATCTTTAAATGCCCTTTCATAAGATCTGGCTCCAAAGTAACACTACTACTTCATATTCAAATCTCGTACCCCAAGTGAGGGTATTCAGATTCGTCTCATCCTGTTGTAGTGGACCTGCCAGGAATAATAACTAATAAAACACAGTCCTTCTTGATAAGGTGATAGTTACTCGGCTAGTAAGAAAATGTCCTGCCTCTTACAGGTCCTGAAGGTTCATTACTGTGTTTGCAATAACCCACCATCAATCCCTGTGCTAAGTCAGATAAACCAAAACCAAACCCTCCCACCCGAAAACCTTAATATCCATTATAATATTATCCTCTCATGTATGCCTACACCTTCCAAGTGGTCTCTGCTCTTCAGGCTTTTAAACCAAAATGTTATATGTATGATCTTGGGCATTCACGTCATCTATGTACTTCAGTACCCTGAGGACGAGGAAAGAGATGGACCTCGAAACCTTGGTCTTTTCATGTTTTAACCACTTGATGCAGCTGATAGCCTGAGAAGATTTTATTGCAAAATGTTATATGTTTTTTCATCTCCCACACTTCTTTCCAATTTATTATTCATGATTGTCTTTTATCATTTGATTCCATGCAACATATTCAACTGACAGAGAACCAACTAACAACATAAAATCTCAAACTTGATAACACAGTATTATCAAATATGAAAACGATAATTTATGGTTTTATCTGATTTCAGGGACTCTATCTTTGTGCCCATGGTGAATTGTGGCACGAGTATTTTTGCTGGCTTTGTGGTATTCTCTGTGCTTGGTTTTATGTCCCACAAAACAGGCATCCCTGTGGCCACAGTCGCTACTGGAGGTGAGTGAAATGAAGTTCTTAAGAACCTGCACTCTTTTGGGAACAACAATAACAAATCAAAAAGATACTCATGAGGAAGTTAGGAGGAGACCAAATTTCAGAAATGCTTCATACTTCTCAGTTCAAAATATTTTGTCTTCCTGTCTGATTTCTAAGAACCTGAAGATTAAACAATAATTTTGCCTGTTGTTTTGTATGGGTGCGAAACATGATCTCTCACTTTGAGGGAGGAACATAGATTGCAGGTGTTTGAAAATAGGGTGTTGTCAATGCTACCGCTTCATAATACTATTTTTAGCTTCTATTTTCCCATTTAATGATGCCAATTCATAATCTACTCCAAGCACAGCCCCTGTGGCCTAACGGACAAGGCATTGGTTTCCTAAACCGAGGATTGTGGATTCATGTCCCACCAGGGGTACGAAACATACAATTTTGTTTCATAAGCTCTGATCAGTACAGTCATTTCGTTTTGTAAAACAAAACTATAAACTAAACATTAAGGTTTGTTACGATTATATGTTGTAAAAGCTACAAACCTTCTGGACACTGTCCATCGTTTCTATCTTCTGTTAAAAACATGACGTTTCGGAGACTGGAATCTGTCTCCGTCCTAAGGTAAAAATCTACTCTGTTGGGTCCAAGGTCTGGAGACAGAGAACAGCTCTATCCATTCCGCACAGCACAGTAGGTTCTTACTCAAGTACGGAGACAGATTCCAGTCCCCAAAATGACATGTTTGATCAATAATCATGCTGCGTTACATTGGGGTTAAAATAGTTGTTCAGTCAGGAGTTTATGATTCAGTATGTCATGGGTGATCTATTTCAGGTCCTGGTCTAGCCTTTGTGACATATCCTGAAGCGATAACTATGTTACCACTGCCACAACTGTGGGCAGTTCTTTTCTTCTTCATGCTGTATCTACTTGGGATGGATAGCTTGGTGAGTGTCACCATCTTTTCAGTAATTCAAGCAACTCTTGTAGAAAAATCAGGGTACTAGAAATAAAACTTTCAAGGAACAAACATGAAGCTAAAATAATGAAACTGCTGTTACACTGCTTTTGCTAAAGTTATAGTTACTAAATAAAATATTATGATCTGGATATGAGATATAATGGGAGTTTTCTTTTTAATTATGCCAGGGAATAACAAGTGGGCAGTAATTTTGAACAGTTTTCAAGAATTGTTTTGAAATATTGTATTAGTACAGTTATATCCTGATCAATTACAGTACTCAAGCAATGCTTATCTAGGTTTTCTGCTAGATTCTCTCCACACCAGCTGTGACGCTCCAGTTCACTCCCCTTCAGATCATCCATTAAAGTTGTCTCATACATCTTTCCATATGTCTATATGCTTTGAGTAACTCGAGACTAGTTGAACAGATTTTTACGAGATCCGATTTAGGGGACTTAATACAATTTATTGACACATTCTGATCTTCCTTAAAACTGAACATCAACAATGGATTCAGCAGAGTAATCACAAAAATAAAAATTGGCACAGCCTTAGTACATATTTATAAATTCAAAGAAATGAGAATAAATCATGAGGCCATTCTTGTTGTTAAAGCAGAATTAAATGATAAACAATCCACAAAGAAATATAGCCACTAGGGCAACAGTGCATATTGGAAAGAATTATTTCCTGTTTAAACTAAGATTTTATTAATTAAATATGTAACACACGAATTGACAATTTACAGTTTGTTCAAATTGAAGCCATCATCTCCAGTGTGACAGATGCATATCCAAAACTAAGGAAGCACAAGCAACATGTGACAGCCATGTCATGTTTTGTAATGTTCCTTGGATCACTGTCTTGTGTTACTAATGTAAGTACTCAGAATATTATCGATTACTGTGTTAGTTTATCCATGCTAAGACATTCAGCCAAAAGAAAAACACATCTATTAAGAGAAATAAGACAGCACGGGCCTCAAGGTCCTAAACATACACTACATCCCTTGTAAATGTGGTTCTGCTTTCCTACAGGGTGGAATGTATGTCCTGCAACTTCTTGACTGGTATGCAGCATCCATATCAGTTATATTCATATGCATAGTTGAAGTAGTTATTGTCGGATGGATCTACGGTAAGCAAATGCATGAACTACTGTACCTGTTACTTTCTACCTGTTATTGACATGGTAAAGGAACACAATAGTACTTAAACCCTGAAATAACAGGAAGCTGGGAGTCCTAGTTGTTACCACAGAAGTTTCTGCTGAGAAACAGAAAATCTTCATATTCTCCCACCCAGCTATACAATTTCTCTCAGACAATTTATGTTTCCAACTGATCACACATGATGCCATTTACTTAATTACAAACACTGTAACAGAAATTATATCTTATGCCTTCTGCTATTGTCTGTATGGCAATCTGAAGAATGTGACCAGGTTTGTTTCCATATTACTGTGTTGTCATGTTATGGAAGGAGGAAGCACCTCTGTTCCGGTAATGCATTAATCATCACCCAAAATGGCTACCATCACAACAAAGCAGATATTGGTGACACTGTGCCACCCCCAGTTCCTTCACTACCTTGAAACTGTTCTACCAATTCAGCTCTTCTCTTAAGACTTACAATATCCTGGTTTGTGGAAAGCCAACAAAAAAGACCTTTTGCAGTGCAA